AATTAAAATAAAAGTAAAGAAACCTAGATACAAAGACAAAGAGGAAGGAAAATTTAAATACCCAACCTAATAACAATGGTGGGGGTGAATATGTAAATGAAGAAAAGAATGGACATATTTAGATCAGGATAAAGGAAAAGATAAAGATGAAGACCAAGACGACGAAGATGAAGATGAAGATGAAACACACCACAACTTAACCCACACACCGTAATTCACCACAATTCAACTCCTGATGACGCCTGAACACCACCTGCACGGCGAGGCGCAAATGCTCCCGGTAAAGGAGCACAATATAATGCTCTGCAAGCAGTTCCTGATCGGGACCCACAGAAGTGGCCACCCGTGCAGACAGCTGCTTGCAGAGGAGCCCTCGCCTAGGCACGTCAGGAGGCATCTATATGAACTAACGGACGAAGTCCAGAGGTTCATTAAGCAACCTCTGGACCCGACAGCCTACAGACAGGCCTTGAACGGCATTCACAGGGACTCAGTCTCGAGTTATGTAGACTCTAGACCTGTGAATGCCGTTCTAGGCACACCACCCCCGGACATTGACGAGACGGAGCTTCATCTGCCTCGGGAGACGCGCACCACACTTGCACAACTTCGCTCCGGCTACTGCAGCAGGTTAAACTCCTACCTGAGTAGGCTGAATGAGGATGTGCCTAATGAATGTCCGGCATGCGGAGAGACCCCACATGACTCGAAACATCTCTTCGCATGCCCGGCAAACCCGACATCCCTAACGACCTTGTCCTTATGGGCAAACCCCGCAGAAGCTGCACGCTTCCTAGGGTTGCCGTTAGTGGAACTTGACGACAACGACTGAGATACCAACCGATCTGGGCGGGGTTGTTGTAGCCGCTACAACAACAACAACAACAACAATTCAACTCTCTCACCACACCTTAACTCACCACACCTTAACTCCACACACCTAAATTCACCACACCTTAATTCACCACACCTCAACTCACCACACGTTAACCCCCCACACCTAAATCCACCACACCGTAATTCACCACACCTCAACTTTCTCACAACACCTTAACTCACCACACCTCAACTCACCACATCTTAACTCCCCACAACTAAATTCACCACACCTAAACTCACCACAGATAAATTCACCACACCTAAACTCACCGCACCTCTTAAGCCCACCACACCTGAATTCACAGCGCCGTAACTCCCACACCCAATTCCACCACATCGCAAACCACCACACCCAATTTCCCCACATGACATGATATCACTTTATGTGGCATCAATGACATTGCTTTAATATTGATACTGAATTAAAGAAATCTGCTAAGCAGCAGTTTAGAAATCAGATTTACGAAGATTAAGACTCATGCAAGGAAGAAGGTAAAGTTGAATATGTTGAAGAAGAAAGGGATAAAGGCAAAGATTAGAATAAAAGTAAAGAAACCTAAATACAAACGAAGGTGGATATCAAGATGAAGATGAAGATGAAGATCAAGATGAAGATAAGGATAAAAATCATAACCCCTTAACTTTAACTCATCTTAACTTAAAAACTTACTCCACCTGAGCTCACCACACATTAATTCACCACACTTTAACTCCCCACACCTAAATTCACCACACCTCAACTCGCCACACCTTAACCCCCGCACCTAAATCCACCACACCTAAATCCACCACCCTTAATTCACCACACCTCAACTTTCTCACCACACCTTAACTCACCTCAACTCACCACACCAAAATTCACCACACCTTAATTCACCACACCTCAACTTTCTCACCATAACTTAACTCACCACACCTGAATCCACCACACCTAAATTCACCACACCGTAACTGCTACACCCAATTCCACCACACCGCAGCTCACCACACCCAATTTCACCACATGACATGATATCACTTGATGTGGCATCAAAGGCAACATCATTTGGCATAAAATTAACCAAAATAAATAAGATTTAGATAGAGGTGAAAAAAGGGATAAAAAGGAAATACAACTGAAGAGTGTGCGATGTTATATTGTGGTGTGTTATGCTTCATAT